AAAAAAAGTGTGGAAAATGTCACCTTAGGGGCTCCGTAGTTTCACAATTATACTTTTCTATTTGTAAGAAGACATTCATTCAGGTGTTTAAGACAGACAACTGATGTACATTAAACTATGCGTTAATTATCTACATAATAATAATAAATCAACGCATTTCGAGCTTTTTATGAGACATTTAGCAAAGTAAAATTGCATTCATTTTAAATGGTTCGTTATTGTAGAGATGACCTGAAAACAAAATATATGCGCACCGAACCGGAATAATTGTATATTCTCTTTTCAAAACATACAGGTACACTTTGGACTTATTAAACATCGGTCGTGTTATGGTTGAACTAATTTTAAATGCTGTAAATGAAATTTAGACACCTAATTATCATGTCTCTCTCGATACAATTATGTATATACCCGTGAGAAAATAGTATTTTGTATTTTCATGTATGAGATACATGTTCGTTTGGACACCGTATTTAGGTTTCACTGTAGCTTACAATTACTCTGTTAATGATACTTGTATTTATTAAGATATTTTCTCTTCCTTGTCGGTACATTTAATTTATGACACAGATAAGTATATGACACAATATTTGTACTGAACACACCCGACAGTTAACTGATATCATACTTTTAATTTAAGGCTTATCAGAAGTACTTATACACAAGTAAATACGTCATATATTTCAATTTCAAATGGTTATAAATATATCTATGTATCTAGGCTTTATTTATCCTTTATCAGGTTTAATATAGCGAACATGTATCTATAATAAATCTGATAGTTTGATATATCAAATATTAAAATAATTAGAAGAAAAGAAGCATACTTTTTTGTCTAATTTTTGATAGCCGTCTTAGCTGTCTCTTACATTCTCTAAATGTCCGGTATTCTGAATAAATATTTGTTTTGGATTTAACTTTATTTTGGCTGGACAACTACCTCTTATATTGACGGTTACACAGATAGCTGAAGTCTGAGCCTTCTTTGCTGTCTCTAATATTTTACTTTGATTCTCTAATATTTTACTTTGATTCTCTAATATTTTACTTTGATTCTCTAATATTTTACTTTGATTCTCTAATATTTTACTTTGATTCTCTTATATTTTACTTTCAATCTGTAATATTTTACATTTAATCTCTAATATTTTACTTTGAATCCCTAATATTTTACTTTGGTTCTCTAATATTTTACTTTGATTCTCTAATATTTTACTTTGGTTCTCTTATATTTTACTTTGAATCTCTACTGTAATATTTTACTTTGGTTCTCTAATATTTTACTTTGATTCTCAAATATTTTACTTTGAATCTCTATAATATTTTATTTTGAATCTCTAATATTAATGATTTTCTTTAATACCTTTATCGTTTTCTTTTATATCTTACCAAAATCTGGAAAAGGGGAGAGCACAAGGAAGCAAAAAGAACAAATATTAAAAGTGAATGTTGCAGACTCGGTTTGATTGTGTCAGTTTATGAGAGATAATGGTAAGATGCCAGATGCAAAATCTTTCACGCCCCCTTGCACCGGCCTGAGAAATTTTCAATCCTCAACCCTATTAGGTTTTTTTGGGGGGAATCAATGACTCCAAAGAATCAGCAATAGTTACTGTATAATAGGAATGAAGTTTATTCAATACATTATCCTGTTATTCAATACCATATCCTGTTGTTATAGGCGCAGTAGCTTCTATCTTGTTGTACTATGGGGGACAGGACGGTATTCACGTATTCTTCAAGGACAGCACGTTCATGGACGAACATCACCGAATACACAAACGCATGCCAACAGACGACTGGTACGGCGAACTTCTGCTAAAAGGATGGGCTTTTGGCTTTGTAGTATGTTGTTTTACACCATTTATCTATTGATTAACAATACAACACTCGGTGCTGTTGTTCATGTTCATATTCGCATATGTTTGAAGACTAATTTCGTTTTCCTATTATATTATCAAATGTAGTCAACAAAATCTGTTGAACACTCTGGGGTATTTTGACGTTTCAAACTGATAAAGTTTTAGATGAAAGGGATAACACATTGTAATAACATTAGATAGTGCATAGTTATCCGTTATAAAATTGTGTTGAAATTTGTACCGTTTTGTTTATATCATATGTTTTCAAACGAGCACAGTTGCGCAGTCAACCAAGTTAACATTTCTAGATTTGTTATCGCCATCCTGTTCAGTGTGTTAGCTGAGAAATTTATCAAATATTTATGCCCACTTTCCAAAATAGATATTACAATTGAAATTAATCTCGTATCTTGGAATAAACCAGTACTGATGCCATATGAACCAATGAACTCTGGATTCGTCTTATTTTTTACCAGTAAAAGATTAATTTTTAATCCAAATGTTATCAACATTAATGCAGTGAAAACTAGAATGAGGGACCAATTTCATCAAGATTGGCGATTAAATATAACTTTACTTTACCGGTACCTTTGGCGTAGTGGTCAAGGCGTCCACATTCAAATCGGCAGGCCGAAGGTTTGAGCCCCACGGGGAGCATTGGAGGATTAATGTTTCTCGTGGGGCTCGTCCCGAAATGGTTGCTTTGTGAGCAGCGAGGTCGTTAAATTGAATGTTTACTGATTTCTATCCGCCTGGCGCCTGACATAGTGGTAGGCAAGCAAAAGGTGTCTCATAAGTCAGAAATGGCTGGCCCTTTCAGTAGGGGTGACATTATAGTAAACAAGACCTATAACTTCGATGTCTAACTAAAATCGTCTCTTTAGAATAATACTTGGACATTATATCAAATGATAATTTAAGATGTCAATAAGTTAGATTTAGACTATGCTCTAATAAATTACAAATTGAAGTTGGTAGAATGTTTATAGAGAAAGCAGACAATGTAAAATATGTAGTTAAAATGTAATTGAGTCAGAATATCATTTTGTTTAAAGTTGTCCGATATATGCTGGTTTAAAAGAAAAAAATATTTAGGTCATTGATCATGGCTTACAATGCAAACATTCAATTGAAACCAATTGATGTCGTCAAAAATCATAAAATTTGAAGCGCTCATGAATCATTAATTGTTTTTATAAGTATTGAAATGAAACGGTGCCGCAATGAGATCTTTAGACACTATATTAATTATTATTATTATTATTATTATTATTATTATTATTATTATTATTATTATTATTATTATTATTTTTGTTTGCACTTTTAAATGAAAACTTTTAGTGTCGAGGAAAACTTACCTTAATATATTTTTTGTTACAGTATGTGGTACCGGGCCTCATAGGTGCAACCGCATCTTTGTTCTTTGAGAAATGCATCGTAAGTCTGTATTCTATATATTTTTCTTATTATTATTTGCACATAATGCGACCTACTACATACAATAGCATTTCAATTTGTTTGCTATACCGATGTACATCTTTGTGTATAAGTTATGAAAATGAGCTCTGTTCTAGTCTATTCTGATAATTTACCAGAACAGAACAGATACTTTATTTTTGACCTGTACAATTATACATCGTCATACAAATATTAACAATTTTACAATACAAAAAAACATAAAATACAAGATCAGATTAAAACATGTGAAAGAAAGTCATGGGCGCGAAATTATATATAGAAAAATCGCACGAAAATCGGCACGCCGCAGCCGGGACTCGAACCACGGGTCTCTGGATTGCCGGTTCAGTAAGCTAACCAGTCCAGTATGGTATACATCTCCTACGTCATGTAGATTATCTTCAGTTCTCTACCAGTTTACCACCTTGTAAAATGTTTTCATGAAGCGGAACGGAAATCCAAAACAATACCGTTGATCTAAAAGTTTTCTAGTTTTGCTCAATCGGACGGAATAATTATGTTGTTAATATTCTGTTTACCTCGAAGAATTCAGGCTTTGTACTAACTTTTAGGAAAGTTATATATCATTTATAGATCTATAAATATTCCATGTTGTTTATAAACCATAACAAATAAAAAAAACAACCACATGGGATAAGAAAAACATTAAAAATGAGCGAAATACATATTCTGCTTTATTGACCGTTAAATAAAATGTAAATTGTCTAAGTTCCCAAGAGATGCCCCTTTGATTAAATTTGGCAGTAGTCATTTATTCTTTCATTAACTGTATCGATTACTTCGAGTCGCTTGGCATAATCGTAATGATAGTATTCAAGTGATTTTGTAACATTTCTCCTCTGGAATAAAGATAATCTATAAATTTACTAATAATTTAAGGATTTTGTCTACATCAATCGATCAATGTCGTTAGCATAACACTTGAGGTTTAAAACAAGAATGCGTAATTTAAATTGATTGAAGACGGGGAATTAATAAAGTGAACACTTAAGACACAAACTGGTATATGTCTGGTTGCCAACATAAGATCTAGTATTCATGCGCGGATCCAAATCAAGAGGGAGTGGGTTCTAGCTAGTATGTAGAACTCCTCTGATATTTTGTTTACATCTAATCTGAACCATCAACCTTTATAACTTACTGATTGTCATAATTTCAGATGATCTTACACGTGGTTGTAGCTGTTGTGTTTCTTATAGCAGGCAGTTTCTTACACACCGCCGGTACTATGGCGATCATTTTGTTCCGGGTATTTACTGTAAATGGGGTAATTAGGTACGATTCGTGGCCGTCAGACTGTATTTATGTCAGGTAATATACTTGAATGTATATTTTAATCTTTTTAAAGTAAATTCTTTGAATATGACGCAATTTTTGACAAAATAGATATTAAAAGGTCTGTTAAAGGCAAAAGAAGTTCAGGACCATACTTGGCACTGTTTGTTGTTTGACATTTTAACTAAAAAAATGGAGAATAAAAACAGAATCCTAAAGAAAGGATAACACGTCAAAATTGAAAATGTTTGTTAAAAAAACACACATATTAAAAATATAAACAACAAACATTTAAAACGACAGTCACGTGCACACGTGCATTAATCAGATTCTTTCAAATTGCATATCAAGTAAATGTTGTTTTTTATTTCTTAAAAAACAACAAAAAACAACAACATTTCTTCAACATATTTTGTATCAGGTCTTACATGCATTATGTTCTATTAGCAGTTGATCTCATTGTATACATATGTTTCATTTTTTCGAAAATTAGGGTATCTGAGAAGTAAGAAGTAGTCAATCCTTGTATAGAATTAAATACCGATAATGCAAAATTCAGTTTTGTTACAAGTACTCCATATCAAACAACAATAATAAAAACAAGGTAGGCTATTGGCCTTGTAAAACTTAAATACTTAGTATATTACTTTAATTTCAGCGATAAGAAGTACGATATCCGTTTTAAGAGATCAATTTGTTTTGTAGTTTATTACAGACATATAATATATTATATTTCATTATAGATAAGCATTATAAAGACTTCCTTGTCAGTAATTTTGCGACATTAAGATTAAAAAAATGCGAATTTAATTTGCTGACACTGTCGTCGCGAATTCATAAATTAAAGAGTTTTTTTTTCGCGAAATAAAGATCACTCGAATATAAAGTGATTTGCAATAGGTGCAGGGCTAAACAGTTACACAATTATAAACGAACAGTCACTGTTCCAAGATACTAGTCATCACAACCGCACAAACGTGAATAGTTTCATCTATTGACCTTAATGTTTCGATATTTGTTCATTCAAGATATAACGATGGCTTACAACAAGATGTTGCAGACGAGAAATGCGAGTCCGGCAGAAAGGCCCTCAACTATGCAATAGCCGCCGCGAGTGTTACCTTGGTCGCCTGGGTGTTTCTTTTATGTGAATTACTTTATGTCGGTTTTACGTACCATAACATTGGAAAGGTATAGCATGAAAGTATATTGTTGTTTTATTTTTTTAAATTGATTTTATGTTTGATTTTATAATTAAATCTTTGTCAGTATAAGAAAAACTACTCACATTGTTTAGTTACCAGTCAATAAGTAATAGAAAGAGCATCGAAACACGAGGCTATCTGATTTGTACGAGGGGGCGTAGCCGCCGAGTATAAATCAGATTGCCGAGTGTTTTGATGTTTCATAGTCAAAAATAAAAACACGTTCCCTGATGTCACAATATGAAACCCCAGAAAAAAAGGAACCAATGAACGAGCATCTGAATATGATATCTCTATCGATTTCCCTTTCCCCGTCGTCACCCAGACAAAATGAACCAATCAATGGGCATGCTCTGCAGTGCAGGTAACTGATACCTGCACTCCAGTTAACGCACAGTGCATCTATATGTATACGATTTAGCTCTGACACATTTTCAACAGAAAGGTCCTCAAACTATGATACAATAATTCTATATTGATAAAATAACATGTCCGTGTTCTTTAGAACTACATTTGGATTATCATGGCTTTAATTCAATAATAGATACGAAAGGAAAACGCTTCAGGTTAATAGTGTGTTTTAATACCTAATACTTGCCTGGGTTCAAGTCTGTCGATTTTTTATGTGCTTGTGCTTCTGTTCGGCAAATCGACAGAATCGTTGATATTATCAAAACACGATCGAATATGAAATAGCGCGTATGTTATAAAAAAAAAATAATATCAACGCCCTAATCCCAGGCTAAACTAAATGCGAACAAAAGTAAGTTGGGAATAATCAAAATCTAAGTCCATTTTATAGAAAAATACGAAGACTGTCAAAGAAACTGTACGTCCTGAGGAAGAAAGGCCTCGGCGAAGGACATACCCTCAACGAAAAAGAGCACCGCCACCGCCAAGAGCATCACGACCGGAAGCAGAAACTACTTCCGGTCCGAGCACCAGTTATGACAATGTTGTTCCAGACACACCTACAGCTCAGACCACGCCCACTTTCGGTACATTTCAGAAGAGTGAAAATATCGGAGCAACGTCTTCATCACAATGCTACGATAATGCAACATTTGGTATTTCATTTTATAAAAATATCTCTCAATCATTTTTACAAATTACAAAAACATACGTCTACACGTACACACAAGTGAATGAATACAATTGAAAAACGAAAGGCGAAATTCGTAAGACTCTTTTCGATGTATTGAACCACAGGATTTTGAAACTATAAATACTTACAATTTCAAAGCATGTGTCAAACAGGGAATTCTGGATTTTCATAACAATGGGTCATAAAAAAACAATGTGAAGTCTTAAAAACACTGTTTTTTTATATATGGATGGAGAATTATATAGAAATTTGACTTTACTGTAGTTGTTGTTTAAATTGTTTTCAAGTGCATGTGATGAAAACACTTCCCGCAGACGGCTTTGCTTATTTCGGTAGGGTTAAATAAGGTCATAAAAAGCTTCATACCTCCATGTCTCCAACGAGCCAAAATATTTCGAGAAAATAAAATTTGAAGAAAATGTACTAAGATTTTAAGCAATCTTAAGAAATCGTGAATTCACTATTTCAACTTCATGAATTCACGATTTCAACTACATGAATTCTCGATTTCAACTTCATGAATTCACGATTTCAACTTTTAAATTCACAATTTCAACTTCACGAATTCACGATTTCAACTTCCTGAAGTTGAAATCGTTGATTCACAAAGTTAAATTCATGAAGTTGAAATCGTGAATTCATGTAGTTGAAATGACCCTACCGGTCTTTCGTAAGAAATTGACTCCACGAAACTAGTATTTCAATGTTCAACGTGATTTTTAATGATTACATTTACAGGTATAGCAGACGAAGGTAGTGTAAGAGATGCAAAAGCAGACATAGTCAGTGACAAACCTGTGTCCCCGGAAATGGTAGAAATTCAAGAAGGTGAAAAAACAGCGCTTTAGACGTCATATGGAGATCATCAATGAATAAATTATACTGTAGCCAAGTAGATTATAAGAAAAAGTGTGTTATGATATTGTTTGTGAAGTAAACTTGTATTGATATTCCATTGTATTATTAATGGGATGTGCGGAACATGCGTTAAGTTATAAAATCACGTAAACACCTTATTCTCCATTTGTTTCAAAGCTGTATCGACAGTCAAATATTAAAGGGACTCCACTGAGGTTTCTTGACGTCACAGGACTGAAAATAATTTTTCGGGATTAATATTCCGACCAATTCTAGACCAATTACGCGCGTGCAAAATTTCACATCATTTGCTAATTTCGTTTTCCAGAATAATTAGTCTAATTGATGAATGTGAAAAATGCCGTAAAATTAAGCGTTACAACGCTTTTCAAACAACTCGGGCAAAGAATAGCAAAAATGATAGAAAAAAATTACACGATTTTCAATTTATCTTTTCAATATTTCTGTTTGACGTGACTCAGATGATGTATGTAAGAAAATCGTATTTTATGTATTTAGGCTTTTTGGACCTCAGTGGAGTTCCTTTAATCTTAGGCCCAAAATCCTATATTAACTTTTATATTAAAAGTTTTACATAAAATTATATATTGTGTGTATACTTATGCAATAAAATAACAATAAATATGAAGAAAAAAAACAATGTACACCTATGTAAGCACCATTTATTCATTATAATCTAGATCAACATGTACTGTATATATACATATTTAACCAGAATTTTATCAACACTGAGGACGGTCCTTGATTTTGTTCTTTTAAATTCCTTGTTTATAAAACTGATATATCTATAGCATGTAGATTTCAATTGTTTGAATTTAAAAGAATTTTTATAGTGGAACCTTTTTGTACATGTCTAGTCAATTTGTTGGCCAAGTTTCATGCGTAATATAAATTTTGGACTTTATCGCGTAATCTGAAAACAATACATATTTTGTAGTATTATTTTCCTTTTTTCAGATCATTTGCTTACTCCGTTTTTTAAAAATAATTACTTGCATTCTGTGAAAAATGACCCAAAGTTGAAAAGCGTTTCACTCAAATCGGGTTTAGTATAGCACAAAAAATAACGTTTATCAATTTATTTCTCGGTATATTTCTTAGTTATGTTTTACATATCGTCATGTTTTACGTGCCCCAGTTGGTCTACGTAAGACTTTCATATTATATGTTTTCTGGATGATAAAGTAAATACCACACTGTCTTTAATTTGATGGGAGACATATTTACTAACGTTGTACGCTTTCCTATTTCCTGTTGAGTGTATTATATCTTTAGATTAAATATTGTAAATAAACCAAAAGTACAGACGAATTGTTCATTGTCTCACATAAGCCTGTGAAAAAGATGAAGTTAAAACACCCAAAGTACATTGTGTAGCAGCTTAACACAAGAACGCTCGTGTCGTCTGCATTTTAATATAACATATTTACCGTTTGTGTCACCTTCATCATATTGACAGTGTGTAAAATCCCTCCCCAAGATTTCAGAATATGAATACAATTTCTACCGTCTCGGAAGAATTTTTGACCCGAGGTCACTGTGTTCCATGCCAAACTGCTCAACTGAAAGCTTCTTGTTGCTTGGATATTTCATAAATATTTCTGAGGGTTTGTTTTTGCATAAGTTTCAAAAACTGACAGTCTAAAACTCCAAAAAAAAAACGCACGTGGAGAGACCAAAATACAAAATTTAATCTTTCTGGACTCGCAATTATTGCTGTTTTGCTGAAAATAACAACCATCTTTTTCACGTCATCAATTCAGTTTGATTTGAAAGAGGGTTAGATAGTTATTGACTTGAATAAAGACAATTATGGAAAATTGCTCGCAATCCTAAATCTATCTAGTCAACAAAAGTAAATTCTTGCCAACTGAGCTTTTACGTGGTGCTCAAACTTCGTGGTCTTTGAAGTGCTATGTGACGCACGCACACACGGAAAATGGACGACTGACAAGGCCATCACAAAACCTCACCTTGAGGACATTGTCATCAGAGAGCTAAAAAACCCAAAAGGACAAGTTCAAGATTTTATACAATTTAATATACAAAAAATAATCTGATGGGTGAATTCTTAACAAAATGCATAAAAATGTGACCAAAAAATATAGCAAAGTACATATACAAAAACAAAAAAAATTCAAGACAAAGTTTTATAATGAACATGCATATGAAAATGAAAACATTTTGTGTTTGAAAAATAATGTAATGGTCATGCAAAACTAATCTTCAAAAATACAAGACACTTTAAGATTTAATATACATGTACATGTTTATCAGAAATAATTTTAACTGAATTAATGTGTATAATGTAATCAATGCAATGTAATGTAATGCACGGAAAAATATTTCTCAAAACAAACAAAATACCGGCCAAGAAATTCGAACTTAACAACTGTTTGTTTTTGTCCAGGATTAAATTAATTCTACGGTATAAACAAAATGAAATGATTCTATTGTACATGTAAATTTTATAATTATTTTTTTTGCCCTACGGATGAAAAAAATCATAACTTTTTTCACAATAGATACTTGTAAGTTCTATACTAATATTAATAACCATGCTGGTTTTTTACTTTGTAAAATTTAAGTGAAATGGTAAATTTTCACCAAAATCTGAACACTATTTTGTCTACCCAAACGCTTCAAGTACTTTAAATTGTTTCTGGAGAGCACACAAAAACAACTGGTTCGTACTCAAAGAAAACAGGTCATCTGTACATCTCATGTAAAACAACAAATTTCTTGTTATTTCACAATATTTCTACGTAATTCTGATTTGATTTCCAGTAATTAATTTTTGAACATACATCAAAAACCAGAAATGAAACCTATGTTAGTAATTTATTCTCCGTTATTTTTCGCTAAAATTCTTATTATTTCTCAAAATTTCTAGTACTTTATTCTAATTTAAGTCTGTAAATTAACATGTTTTTAAAAAATTTACCAGAAGAAATGTAACCTGTGTTTTCGCCAAAAATTTCTTGTTATTCCAAAATATCTTAACTTAATTCTAAATTAATTCATGCAAGAAACTTTTCCAATACACTTCAATCACCAGAAAAGTAACCTATGTTAATTATTTGTACTCATTTTTCCCCCCATATATTTATAACATCTATTCAGCTTTTACGAGCAAGAATATCTTCAATATAAGAATTGTTTTTAGCTTTAAGATCTGTTTTAAGAGATTCTATCTTTTTGGCAACTTCTTCTTTACTAAGGGAAGCAACTGGAATTTCCCTGGCTTTCTTCAGAAACTCTGTAATAAGCTCTTCTCCCTCCTGCAAATAGAAATTAATGGTTCGTTTTCATGTGTAAATTTTTAATTTTGCTTAAGCCGGTGCTAGAGGACATGGACAGTAGCATGCAATTACCATTTCCCTCCATGAACAGGCTCAATCAAACAGAACCTGCAATATTTTCAATTTTGCTCTTTTTGGCATTCTTGAGGGATTCCCTTTTCCACTATTTCCTAGTTTTACTGCATAACATTCACATCAATTTCAGATTTGAAACAAATAATCACAGAGCAACAGATAAGGTGCGTATTTGCGTATTTACGCAATTAATTCTATAAATTACGCAATTGATATTTTAATAATGCGTATCAAAACGCATTAAAAAAAATAAAATGCGCAATTGTCTTAAAAACCCGTGCATATTGTTATTTTCATCACCGCAAATGAATCTGTCGTACGCTCGTAGTTTTGGACAAATTATATCGATATGCATGCTATCCGAATATTCCCGAATCAATGCTAACTAATCAACGGTCTCCTGTCTTCGACGGTCCCCTGTCTCCAAAGACCAACTAAGTCATATCAATAAAGCGTGACACCGTCGTGTCTACTCAGGTTGACGGTCTTTACAGACCAGCAGAGACCGTTGATTTTGCGGAGACCGTCAATGAGTAGGTCCCACCTGTATTAATAGACGCTTTGAAAGAAATATGGCGTCGTACAAAAGGGAAAATGATTTGAAACAAAACATTCGTAAATAATAAAAAATCAGTCAGAAAACGAACTTGTTACAAATATTATGAAATATAACATGAGCATTTTATATAAGAAATAAAACAATTGTGAAAAGTTCTAGAAAATTGTTAATCCTATTTTCTTTTTAAAACAGTTCAAATTTTATTGATATTGAAACCATAAAATTAATATTTTCATTATTGAATACCCAATTAATCTTGAAATCATAGGGTATCGAGTTTTGGAATACCCAATTAAATGGAGCCAATACCCAATTCCAAAGGAAATGATGGAGTAATACCCAATTCACTTTTAAAGCTTATCTGTTGCTCTGTAATCAATAATGCCAAGTTACTCACTATTAACGTTATTTTTACAACAATAAGTTGTTAGAGTAAATCAAGTGAACTGACAAGAATAAAAAGACGTCAGTTTAAGGAAAGATCCATGCTTAAGTTATAGGTCTTGACCAGTGACCAAGCATTAATTATGATTCTACATATGTGTAAAAAGTTCATGATTATACATCTTTTAGTTAATAAAAAATTAAATAAGTCTTCAAATCGTCAAGCTAAAAAGTCACTTAACATAAGGACTTTGATATTATAAACCCAAGAACCTACAATGGACAGTTTTAAAGTAAAAACAAGATAAATCCATTACAAACATTAAAATTTGATAGTAAAAAAATAATCACTCAACCATAGTCTCCATCGGTCAAAAATTAAAGTGACATTATGGTCAATTTTTCATTGGCAAGTTGAGCTGAACTGACTACATTTGTATATATTTCAAAAAATTTAGTGTTAAGGAAACTGACCAACAGTTGATATTGGAAAGTGTTTGGGGATGAAATATAAATCTACCTAAAATATAAAAAGACTGCCCCTCTCTTTTTCAAACTGTAACCTTAAAGGTTATTTCTGACATATTTATAGAATTGAGCAGTGTCATGACAAAAAAAACATAATGGGTTTGCGACCAGCATGGATTCAGACCAGCCTGCACATCCCCGCAGTCTGATCAGGATCCATGCTGTTTGCTATCAGTTTCTCTACTTTTAATAGAGTTGGTAAGCGAACAGCATGGATCCTGATCAGACTGCACGGATGCGCAGGCTGGTCTGGATCTATGCTGGTCGCAAACCAATTATGTTGGTTTTGTCATGACGTGGCTCAAATTTCCTTTGGTCATGAGAGTTACTTATCATTCATATGAAGTAAATTTTAAAATTAAATGGAATTATGACGCAATGTCAACATATTATAACTTTCAACTGTCCGCTCATCATATATCCTTGGATCGGCATAACATCACTTTAAATTAAACATTTTATTAAAAAATGTAAAAGTTAACTCACTATACCTGTTTTACAAGTTTTCTCTTTTTAACGGCTGGTTCATCCTCCCCTTCAAGGTCCGTACCGGATAGACTGATACACTGATAATCTTCTAACTCACAGGCTTTCTCCTTGGCAAACTGTCAAACATTAAAATAACATACCCTTGTAATTATAGCTACTTAATATAACATTGAACAAGAGAGCCATGTCAACATGGCCATCCCCCGCCGAATGTGTTTGCTCATTGGAAGAATGTATATGTAGGTAGAGCGGAATAATTCCATTTTAAGATTCTTTTTGGTAATGAAAACTGATGGCTATAGTGATTACAGAGATTTGAAACCTATATGAATACTGATGGCTGAAAAATAACAAAGGGCAATTACTGAAAAAAATAATGCAGGATAGGTCAAAGGGCAATTACTGAAAATAAATGCAGGGTAGGTTATCATTTGCTTGTGTGCTACATCCCTCCTCAGTAAAATCTATCCACCTATGAAGTTTTCAAGTTCTTACCTCAAATACTTTTTGAGAAAAAAAAATTGAATTGAAAAATTAAGTATGAAGTTTCATTTTGATATCTCAAAGGCTTTTTGAGTTATGCTCTGGACAAAAATTAATTTTGAAAAAATAACAAAGGGCAATAACTCAAAAATAATGCAGGGTAGAGTTATCATTCTTAAGCACTGCACTCCTCCTCAATGAGATCCATCCATCTTTGAAGTTTCAAGTTGATACCTCAAATACTTTTTCAGATAAGCTCTGGACAAAATAGCAATGAAAAAAAAACAAAGGGCAATAACTCAAAAATTGTATAGGGAAGAGTTATCATTCTTGCGCACAAACATTCCTCCTCAATATAGATCTATCCACCTATGACATTTCATGTTGATATCTCAAACACGTTTTTGAGTTATGCTCAACTCAGGTGAAAAATTAGGTATGAAAAATAACAAAGGGCAATAACTCAAAAATTATGAAAGGTATAGTTATCATTCTTGTGCACTGCACTCCTCCTCAATGAGATCCATCCACCTATGAAGTTTCAAGTTGATACCGTCAAATACTTTTTGAGATAAAAGTCTGGACAAAATAGAATAAAAATAACAAAGGGCAATAACTCAAAAATTATGCAGGGTAGAGTTATCATTCTTGTGCACTGCACTCCTCCTCAATGAGATCCCATCACCTATGAAGTTTCCAAAGTTGATACCTCAAAATACCTTTTTTTCAGATAAGCCTCTGGACAAAATAGCATGAAAAAAACAGAAGGGCAATAACTCAAAAATTGTATAGGGAAGAGTATCATTCTTGCGCACAACATTCCTCCTCAATAAGATCTATCCAACCTATGACATTTCATGTTGATATCTCAAACACTTTTGAGTTATGCTCCACTCAGGTGAAAAATTAGGTTATGAAAAAAATAAACAGAAGGGCATATACTCAGAAAAATTAATGAAAGGTAGAGTTATCATTCTTGTGCACTGCACACATCTGAGTGATATCTATGCACCTATGAAGTTTCATGTTAATATCTCTCATAGGCTTTTGGAGTTATGCTTCTGGACAAAAAATCAAAATTTTGAAAAAATAACAAAGGGCAATAACTCAAAAAATCATGCAAGGTAGAGTTATCATTCTTGTGCACTGCACCTCCTCCTCAGTGAGGTCTATCCCCACCTATGAGTTTCAAGTTGATAACTCAAAATACTTTTTAGAGATATGCTCCGGACAAAAATGTCCGACGGAAGGACCGGACGGACGGACGGAACGGAAGACTATTTCTATATCCCTACCGCCGCAAATTTTTAAGGCGGGGGATAAACAAGAAGCATCAGAACATGCAGTGTTAACACAAACACTGTTTGAAACAAGAAGCCATGGTCAAACATGGCCATCCCCCACCGAATGTTTTTGCTCATTGGAAGAATGTATATGTAGTAGAAGCGGAATAATTCCATTTTAAGAGGTCTTTTGTAATGAAAACTGATGGCTATAGATGATTACAGATTTGAAACCCTATGTGAATACTGATGGCTGAAAATAACAAAGGGGCAATTACGAAAATAATGCAGCGGTAGGCTATCATTTCTTGTGTGCTGCATCCCTCCATCAGTAAAATCTATCCACCTATGACGTTTCAAGTTGATGCCTCAAATACTTTTTGAGAAAAAAATTGAATTGAAAAAATTAAGTATGAAAAAGAACAAAGGGCAATAACACAACAATTATAAAAGGTAGAGTTATCATTCTTGTGCAGTGCACACCCTCCTGAGTGAGATCTATGCACCTATGAAGTTTCATTTTGATATCTCAAAGGCTTTTTGAGTTATGCTCTGGACAAAAATTAAAAATTTTGAAAAATAACAAAGGGCAATAACTCAAAAATAATGCAGGGTAGAGTTATCATTTTTAAGCACTGCACTCCTCCTCAATGAGATCCATCCATCTTTGAAAGTTTCAAGTTGATACCTCAAATACTTTTTCAGATAAGCTCTGGACAAAATAGCATGGAAAAAAAACAAAGGGCAATAACTCAAAAATTGTAAAGGGAAGAGTTATCATTCTTGTGCACAACATTCCTCCTCAATAAGATCTATCCACCTATGACATTTTCCATGTTGATATCTCAAACACTTTTTGAGTTATGCTCAACTCAGGTTGAAAAATTAGGTATGAAAATAACAAAGGGCAATAACTCAAAAATTATGAAAGGTATAGTTATCATTCTTGTGCACTGCACTCCTCCCTCAATGAGATCCATCCACCTATGAAGTTTCAAGTTGATACCTCAAATACTTTTGAGATAAAGTCTGGACAAAATAGAATGAAAAATAACAAAGGGCAATAACTCAAAAATTATGCAGGGTAGAGTTAACATTCTTGTGCACTGCACTCCTCCTCAATGAGATCCATCCACCTATAAAGTTTCAAGTTGATACCTCAAATACTTTTTCAGATAAAGCTCTGGACAAAATAGCATGAAAAAAAACAAAGGGCAATAACTCAAAAATTGTATAGGGAAGAGTTATCATTCTTGCGCACAACATTCCTCCTCAATAAGATCTATCCACCTATGACATTTCATGTTGATATCTCAAACACTTTTTGAGTTAAGCTCCACTGAGGTGAAAAATTAGGTATGAAAAATAACAAAGGGCAATAACTCAAAAATTTTGAAAGGTAGAGTTATCATTCTTGTGCACTGCACACCTCCTGAGTGAGATCTATGCACCTATGAAGTTTCATGTTAATATCTCATAGGCTTTTGGAGTTATGCTCTGGACAAAAATCAATTTTGAAAAATAACAAAGGGCAATAACTCAAAAATCATGCAAGGTAGAGTTATCATTCTTGTGCACTGCACTCCTCCTCAATGAGGTCTATCCACCTATGAAGTTTCAAGTTGATAACTCAAATACTTTTAGAGAAATGCTCCGGACAAAAATGTCGGACGGAAGGACGGACGGACGGACGGACGGAAGGACGGAGACTATTTCTATATCCACCGCCGAAATTTTTCGGCGGGGGATAATAACCATTTCTGACATACATTCTAAGTCAAGAATGGGCATAAGTCTAAAAAATTGAGCTTTTGAAATTACGCCCCTTGTCTTACAACTGCCTATTGTCATGATAAGTTAGTATTCTAAGCTTCATAACGATACCTTTAAAATTGTTTGAGTAATGAGCTACGTAAAAGATTTTGCACACTGACAATGATGATGTTACAACGATCATATTAGCCGTTTTATTTTTTTCAAAACAGACAAGCAAATAAAACAAAAATTGCTATTAAAATATACTTATCAAGCACACTTGTTACAAAAAATGCTGAATTAACATTTGTAACAAAGATGTATCTTAGTGTAACTATGAACAAATGTTTCAATGACTTGAGCTACTTTTGTGTTCTACACGATTCCAGAGACATAGCTAATGTAATCTATGTCTCTGACGATTCTGAATTTCATGAAGAGCACCTCATTTTTTTTTTCAAACTTGAAAACTTCATACTGCTCTACATCTTTTTACCAAACATGTCAATCATTGATATGATCTAATTTTTGCAACAGACATTTATCATTTTTGCCTCAAACAGAAAATGGTTGGGAGAGTTTTTTTTATCAATTAACTAGCAACTATCATTGTACATCTATATTTATTAATTTTACCCACATTGAAAATGTGTGAAGTCATAAATTGTTTAAGTATTGTTCAAAAGGTATATTTAGGCACTTAATAACAATATTATCTAACAGTAAATACCTGAATAACATGTTTAGGAAAATGTGCCAATTCTGCCACATGGATACCAAAACTCTGGTCACATACACCTGAAAATATTGTATTCATCATCTTATAATTTCACATCATGAAAAGTTCTGTCGATCTATTCCTTCAAACTGTTTAGGTCATTTACTCGAAAAATATTAGTAAAATATGTACACTAATCTAACAATCAAACAGTTTAATTTTCAAGGAAACTTAATGTGCTTTAACTGAAATTGACATCTAAATAGCATAGAACAGCTAAACATTAGTCGATTGGAAGTGAAATATTTTCAGTAATACAGAGTCAATACCAGTTCCTAGCCAGTCAGCAAAGCTGATAAAACAACCTTCATGTTAATTCTTTCTTTCCCCTTTCACACCAAGACAAAACAAGAGCTTGGATAATGTACAATTTGGTTTCAAAAAATGGTAATTTCAAACAACTATACCTGGTTTAACTCTGTACAGCAACGTTAATGTATCATTACTAGTCAAGGCAGTTACATGTAGATTATTCACAGTGGGCACTTTATCAGCAAGGGCAGTTAACTCATGGAAGTGGGTGGCAAACAGACAGTAAGACTTCAACTGTGTCGCTATATTTCTGAAATAAGCAATTATTGTAAAGAAGTCAAAGCCATATTTTAAAATATTTTGTTATGTATACTTTTTATTACAGTATCATATACTAGAATTCTTACAGATCCGTCATTTAAAAGTTTATATCTTTATAATACTTTAAGAGGGGCATAGCAAACCCTATAGTTTTAAACATTTATGATAATCTATGTCAGTTTACAAAATGGACCATGAGACACACATTCCTCATGTTAACTACTCAATAAGTATGCTATAATTTCACATAAACTTTAAAAAAACATATTCTTATAAAAGCATGGATAACATAAAGATTTTTTCTAGTAAAATTAATATGAACACACATTAAAACCAGTCAATCACATTTTAGATTGTGTAACATAAATGGATTCTCCCTGAAAAATTTGAATAAGCAACACCTACTCTGAGATAGCCCATGCCAGTCCAAAACCATCATATGTAGACGTACCTCTCCCTAACTCATCTATGATGATCAATGAATCCTCTGTCGCTGACTAGAAATAAATTACAATCATAACAAATTTTAAATCTGACAGTTAACAATTGTAACAAAGTTCACAAGAAGCGCCGCAATGCGACGAAAACCAGGTTTTCAACGACCAAGTTTTGATGTGACAGCAATCAATAGGTCAAAGTGCACTGAAGTTATTGAGTACAAGCTGAAAATTCTATTGTAAGCAAATGACCTTGAACTTGTTCTCAGATATCTAAGTGGCAATCCAAAGCTGCCACTCAGCAAGTTTGGTGTCAAAAGGTCAAAGCAAACTCAAGTTATAACATGAAAACTAAATACACAAGAGGCATGTCAACATGGCCATCCCCCGCCGAATGTGTTTGCTCATTGGAAGAATGTATATGTAGTAGAGCAGAATAATTCCATTTTAAGAGGTCATTTGGTAATGAAAACTGTTGGCTATAGTGATTACAGATTTGAAACAAATGTGAATACTGATGGCTGAAAATAACAAAAAAATAATGCAGGGTAGGTTATCATTCTTGTGTGCTGCATCCCTCCTCAGTAAAATCTATCCACCTATGAAGTTTCAAGTTGATACCTCAAATACTTTTTGAGAAAAAAAAATGAAATTGAAAAATTAAGTATGAAAAATAACAAAGGGCAATAACTCAAAATTATAAAAGGTATAGTTATCGTTCTTGTGCACTGCACACCTCCTGAGTTAATCTATGCACCTTTGAAGTTTCATAATGATATCTCAAAGGCCTTTTTGAGTTATGCTCTGGACAAAAATTAATTTTGAAAAATAAAAAAAGGGCAATAACTAAACAATTATGCAGGGTAGAGTTATCATTCTTGTGCACTGCACTCTTCCTCAATGAGATCCATCACCTATGAAGTTTCAAGTTGATACCTCAAATACTTTTTTGAGATAAAGCTCCGGACAAAATAGTATGAAAAAGAATAAAGGGCAATAACTCAAAAAATTGTACAGGAAGAGTTATCATTCTTGTGCACAGCATTCCTCCTCAATAAAATCTATCCACCTATGACATTTCATGTTGACATCTCAAACACTTTTGAGTTATGCTCCACTCGGGTGAAAAATTAAGTATGAAAAATAACAAAGGGCAATAACTCAAAAATTATGAAAGGTAGAGTTATCATTCTTGTGCACTGCACACCTCCTGAGTTAGATCTATGCACCTATGAAGTTTCATTTTGATATCTCAAAGGCCTTTTGAGTTATGCTCTGGACAAAAATTAATTTTGAAAAATAACAAAGGGCAATAACTCAAAAATTATGCAGGGTAGAGTTATCATTCTTGTGCACTGCACTCTTCCTCAATGAGATCCATCCACCTATGTAGTTTCAAGTTGATACCTCAAATACTTTTTGAGATAAGCTCTGGACAAAATAGCATGAAAAAGAACAAAGGGCAATAACTCAAAAATTTGTTAGGGAAGAGTTATCATTCTTGCGCACAACATTCCTCCTCAATAAGATCTATCCACCTATGACATTTCATGTTGATATCTCAAACACTTTTTGAGTTATGCTCCACTCGGGTGAAAAATTAAGTATGAACTAGAAATGTGTCCATAGGACACGGGTGCCCCCACCGCGCCACTGTTCTGTCAATCTTTTTACTAAGTCAAGGGAAATAACTCTACAAATACTGGATAAATCCACAAGCGAAACCCCAGGTGCAAATCTAAATATGCTGAGCAACCTGCCCATAAGGTTTAATGACTATGTCAAATCCTTTTTGAGTAACTTGCGACACAAGTTGAAAATTGCAAAAATTTTCTAAGTGAAGGGCAATATCTCTAAAAATACTAAATAAATCCAGACGAAAATACCCAGGTGCACAACTACACATGCTGATTAACATTCCTGTAAAGTTTCATGACACTAGGTCAAATACTTTTTGAGTAACTTGCGACACAAGTTGAAAATTGCAAAAATTTTCTAAGTGAAGGGCAATAACTCTAAAAAATACTAAATAAATCCAGACGAAATACCCAGGTGCACAACTACTCATGCTGATTAACATTCATGTAAAGTTTCATGACACTAGGTCAATACTTTTGAGTAACGTGCGACACCAAGTTGAAAATTGCAAAATTTAACTAAGTCAAGGGCAATAACTCTGAAAATACTAAAAATATCCACATGAAAAACCCAGGTGCACAACAACACATGCTGATCAACATCCTGTAAAGTTTCATGACTCTAGGTCAAATACTTTTTGAGTTACATGCGACACAAGTTGAAAATTGCAAAATTTTACTAAGTCAAGGGCAGTAACTCCGAAAATACCAAAAATATCCAGACGAAAATACCCAGGTGCACAACTACACATGCTGATTAACATTCCTGTAAAGTTTCATGACACTAGGTCAAATACTTTTTGAGTTACGTGCGACACAAGTTGAAAATTGCAAAATTTTACTAAGTCAAGGGCAATAACTCTGAAAATACTAAAAATATCCACATGAAAATACCCAGGTGCACAACTACACATGCTGATCAACATTCCTGTAAAGTTTCATGACTCTAGGTCAAATACTTTTAGAGTTACGTGCGACACAAAAGTGAACGGACAGACGCACGGACGGAAGGACGGACGAAAGGACAAGGGTAAATCTAAATGCCCGCCACTAATGTGGGGGCACAAAAATAACAAAGGGCAATAACTCAAAAATTATGAAACGTAGAGTTATCATTCTTCTGCACTGCACACCTCCTGAGTGAGATCTATGCACCTATGAAGTTTCATGTTGATATCTCATAGGCTTTTGGAGTTATGCTCTGGACAAAAATCAATTTTGAACAAGATATGTTGGTAAAACATGTATGCCCCCTATCAGCAGCCAATTAGACATGTGATAAGGTTATTATGCATGACTTCTGACCCAGTGATCAAACAATTGATAAGGGTTATCAAGTATCTACTGGTCATGACCTTGACCTTTGACCCCTTAACCCAAAACTCAATAGGGGTCATCTGCTAGTCACGACCCAAATCATCATAAAAAAGTTTGAAGTCCTAGGCCTAAGCGTTTTTAGTTAATTGATCAAGAAAACCGATTTTACCTACAAGGTCAATGTGACCTTGACCTTTAACCCCTTGACCCCCAAAATCAATAGGGGTCATCTGCTGGTCATGACAATCACCATGCCAAGTTTGAAGTTCCTAGGCCTAAAGGGTTTCTTTTATTATTGATCGGAAACCGTTTAACATACAAGGTCAATGTGACCTTGACCTTTGACCCCAAAATCAATAGGGGTCATCTGCTGGTCATGACCAATCACCATGCCAAGTTTGAAGTTCCTAGGCCGAAGTGTTCTTTAGTTATTGATCAGAAACTGTTTTTACTTACAAGGTCAATGTGACCTTGACCTTTGACCCCTTGATCCCAAAATCAATAGGGGTAATCTGCTGGTCATGACAAATCACCATATCAAGTTTGAAGTTCCTAGGCCTAAGGGTTCTTAAGTTATTGATCAGAAACCGTTTTTACTTACAAGGTCAATGTGACCTTGACCTTTGACCCCTTGACCCCAAAATCAATAGGGGTCATCTGATTGGTCATAACCAATCACCATACCAAGTTTCAAGTTCCTAGGCCTAAGCGTTTTTAGTTATTGATCGGAAAAATGTTTTTACCTAAGAGGTCAATGTGACCTTGACCTTTGACCCCTTGACCCCAAAATCAATAGGTCATCTGCTGGTCATGACCAATCACCATACCAAGTTTGAAGTTCCTAGGCCTAAGGGTTCTTAAGTTATTCATCGGAAAGCATTTTTACCTACAAGGTCAATGTGACCTTGCCCTTTGACCCCTTAACCCCAAAATCAATAGGGGTCATCTGCTGGTCATGACCAATCACCATACCAAGTTTGAAGTTCCTAGGCCTTAGGGTTCTTTAGTTATTGATCGGAAACCGTTTTTACCTAAGAGGTCAATGTGACCTTGATCTTTGACCCCTTGACCCAAAATCAATAGGGGTCATCTACTGATATGACCAATCACCATACCAAGTTTGAAGTTCCTAGGCCTTAAGGTTCTTTAGTTATTGATCGGAAACCGTTTTTTGCTTACAAGGTCAATGTGACCTTGACCTTTGACCCCTTGACCCCAAAATCAATAGGGTCATCTACTGGTCATGACCAATCACCATACCAAGTTTGAAGTTCCTAGGCCTAAGGGTTCTTTAGTTATCACTCGGAAACCATTTGGTCTACGGACCGACGGACCGACAAGTGCAAACCAATATACCCCCTTTTCTTCGAAATGGGGGCATAAAAATAACAAAGGGCAATAACTCAAAAATAATGCAGGGTAGAGTTATCATTCTTGTGCACTGCACTCCTCCTCAATGAGGTCTATCCACCTATGAAGTTTCAATTTGATAACTCAAATACTTTTAGAGATATGCTCCGGACAAAAATGTCGGACGGAAGGACGGACGGACGGAGACTATTTCTATATCCCCCGCCGCCTTTTCGGCGGGGAAAATTAACCTTGATCACAGACACCTGGGTAGCAATCCCAAGCTGCCTCTTGATATAAGCTACCCATTCATCAAGTTTGGTGTCAATAGGCCAAAGCAAATTCAAGTTATTGAGCAGAAACTGAATTGCTATTTTTAGTAACAGTGACCTTGACCTTGCTTTGGCCTATTGACACCAAACTTGGTGTGTAGGTAGCAAGTTTGGTGTCAATAGGCCAAAGCAAACTCAAGTTATTGAGCGGAAACCAAAAGTTGACACCCGCCCGCCCATCCGCCCGCCTGCCCGCTGACTTCGGCAGTACAATAACCCGGTTTTCGTTGAAAACCTGGTTAAAAACTGACAGTTTTAATCACTGCCCTCACTTTTAGTGTAATGTTAATTTCCCATAAACAACTGAGAGTTATTTATACTGTTGATGCAAGTGTACTATGTGACTAAGAAATTTGTACTGTTACAGGGTAACAGTATTTTTTAACAGTTTAAAATCTGGTCACATGGTCTATTTTCTTAAGAAAATAAAATAAAATCATCATAAAAAAAAAATCACAGTTACTGTTCGGAGTAATAAAATAAATTACACATGGGTTTGTGAGTTACAGTAAAAATAACATCACTTGTAAAAATACTTTTACCCGAGCATTAACAGTAGTTTCCTCGGGTTGATATTTTTACTGTTACCCACAAACCCATGTGTTATTTATATTTTACTAGTCTATTCTATGACTTATATCACATTATATTTCATGTCCAGCTAGCTTACAGTCTGTCATTGGCTCTAGATGCTCTACTTAGTTGCCCACTTATGCCTCAAACAATGCATGTAAAGGTATCCAATGTCTTCATCTACCAGCAAAACTGGAAAATTCTCTATAAATTATGACCTTTACAGTGTTGGTGTGATGTAAAACTCTTTATTTACATAAAAAAGTTCATTTTAAGATAAGTTAAAAATGATGACTATAAGGAGTCATTTATTAGCTTTTTAACCGCCTCAATTCTTTTTTGTTTGTTTTAGGTTTTACGTCACATTGACACAGTATAGGTCATATTGCGATGTTCCAGCTTTACTGGTGGAGGAAGACCTCAGGTGCCCTTCCGTGCATTTCAGGCACGAAAGGGCACCCGAGTAGAACCACCGACGTTCCGTAAGCTAGCTGGATAGCTTTCTCACATGAAAGAATCCAAAGTCCCAGTCGGGATTCGAACCCACAGTGGTAAGGGGCAAGTCATTTGAAGTCGACAACCTTAACCACTCGGCCAAGGACACCCCTACCCTCAATTCTTCATGTGCGAGATCATTTCATATAATCTTCTCTAATTTTAGGAGAAAAAAAAACATAATTTAAAATATCAATATACATGTAAAACCATCATGTGATAAAATTATTTCAATGGGGGCAAAAATCAAATTGACGCATCAAATATCAACATGTGATCAGAAAGCACCTTAGAAATATACATGTATGAAAAAACAAAAGCTGTGATAGCTTACCCTTAGTATAGAAGCTGTTTCTAACATTTCTGCCATAAATGTGGACACTCCCTTCAGTTGACTGTCCCCAGCACCCACTCTAGCAAGTATACTGTCAACTATAGTGACGTCAGCCTCGCTACATGGCACAAAACATCCCAGTTGACACATCAGTACTGTAACACCAACCTGGTGAAATAAAGTAAGATACAAAGTAATATTATGCCCATCTAGAGGTATGTATTGAATGAATAGGTGACAGTCAAAGTATGTTTACATTTCCCCATAATTTCTTTCAGTTTTATAATTTACATTGTACGAACTATAAATAAATATTTCAGATGACCCAAGAGTTTAAACCAAAGATCATTAGGGTGATAATTTCTATAAGTACTTGGCTAATGTTTAACAAAGTTAATAAATCAAATTCAACCAAATTCAACAATATTCTAAAGTTAAGTCAGTTAACTGAAAGGATATTGCTGCTACTCTGTAGCTTTTTATTAACAATTTTGTACTAGACTGTTTCCTTTCGTAAATTGGCATACCTGTACCACTAATTGAAACAGGCTTCCCAGAACTGTATTACATAATAATAAAAATCTCTTTTCTTTTAATTACTATCTTCTTGGAAAAACTGTCAACTAAATAGCAATAAATGCCATTTTTTTAAGTTATCTCATTCAGTTCATTTGAAATCAAACCAGAAACCAAAAACTTATATTCATACACATACATTTTGTATAGTGATGTTAAAATGACTTGATAATATCGTCAATCAATTTTCTAATATACTTGATTTAAAATGAGATTAATGATTTACTTACTGAGCGAATGTATGTAGATTTTCCTCCCATGTTTGGTCCTGTTATGATGTGAAACATCTGTTTATCTGAAACAAGATTTTTTTTTAATTGTTTGGTACAATCATGTGAGCAAATATTTTCCCTTTTTTTTACTTGAGGATAGGTGGCTTATACTACTGTTACTTCTTCAGGATATATAACAAAACAAGAACTATCAGTAGCAAAATGTGCTACAGTATTTCCTGTGCTTGAAAGTTAAATAAAGAGCCTTGGGTTGGGTTTAAAGTTGCACAGCCACTTTTCAAATGTCATGTCGCAACATTCCAGATAAACTTATTAAGAAAGATATCAGAAGACTCTCCTTGCATTATTTAAAGCATGAACAGGTACATAAAAGGAACCTCCTTAGTTCTATAAACTATCAGGACAGCCTCCTCACATAAATAAATTCCAAGGCCCCGGCCAGGATATGAAATACACTATGTCAAGATAATCAAGTATTCTAAGTTTCATACTGATAACTTTTAAAATGTTTAAATAATGTGCTAAATTAAAGTTTTTGCATGACAACCACCACAACAATGCAGCAATAGTAATAGCTAGCTTTTTTTTCGAAACAGACAAGCTAACAAGTTCTTAAGTTCTTGTGCCACCTACCTTTTTCAAACTGTATATCATTAGGTATAAATGCTATATCATCTTGCATCTCCAGACATGGGTGTCTTGTTTCCTTCAATTTTATAATACCACTGCCTGAAATAATATAGCAAACATCTATGGTGTCTTAATGGCTGAGTGTCTAATACTTTCATTTGTATTTCTCAAAAGCTTTTCAGTTTTGGCATCCTGTTAAAGTTTCCAAAATGTAACTTACTTGTCATTTACCTGAACCATCTGTTTTTACTGTTGCTTTTTAGCAATCCATACGGATTTATCATTTCATATGAAAGTCAACATACTTTGTTTGCATTTTGCTACTTTTATGACAATTTCACATTCAGCACTACTTTGTCTAGGTGATAAGTATCTGTAATAAAACTTATGTTTTACATTTCTAAAGAAGGAAAAATGTCTTCATTTTTTAGCATAATGTGCCTTTAACTATATCAAACTGTGTAAACTTTTGCCAAAATTAAATTTGTTGCGTGACATGCTTTGTGGTGAATTGGAGGTTCAGCAATTTGTATCCTTTATAATAAGTGGTACCAAAGACAGACCCATTCACTTTTATAATAAGTGGTACCAAAGAACGGACCCATTCACTATCTGTCCTTCACAATTTTCAGACTGGGTCCAAAGACATGTTCACCATTCAGATGAAAATTCACATTAGATTTGACCAATTAATTCTATGATTATATCTTAAATTATGCTTAAAATTGATTTCTTCTTGTGTCAATGCACTGTATAATATTAAATGGAATCGACTGACCAGTATTTCCAGTGCTGACATCCCTTTACATTTTCATAATCATGTCTAGCTATATGTGATGGTGCAAGAAAAATATGTCACAATTATATCTAAGTACAGACTATTTGGGACAAATATATTAAAGCAAGCATCTTTCAAGTTATTTCAACAATTTTCAGGAATAATTTGCCTTTTTTTTTTATTGGGGGGGGGGGGTTGGGGACTATGCCTTTTCTAATAATTTTCATGGGGATCCATTCACAATTTACATTTCTCTGGCAATACATTGTAATTGAAAAACTTTACATTTTAACTGAAATACCTGCACAGCTAATAATAAAATATAATAAAACAAAATGCTTCCTTTACCTTTTTCCAGTACAGTAGGTCTGACATATGGTATTGGAGCACATGTTGTCACCTGGGAGAAACTCACCAATACATCTAACTGTGCCAATATATCATTAATAATCAACATAGGCTCTACATATCCAGCTGAAATATGCAAAAATGTCATTATCATAAACAGTTTAGTTTAACCCATTACTTCATATACACACCTTTTAACGCCTTTTTCACCCCCCCCCCCCCCTTTTTGTTGTCTCAAATGATGAAAAAATGCCTTATTTAGGCCCCCAACACTTGTTTTTGTTTGAGAAATGTTGTTAAAAAAAGTGACCTCTTTTTCGGCGCGGCCCCCCAGCCAAAAGATACATCAGGGGGTTGCCAGAAGGGGGATGTGCCAAGAAAATTTTGGACTTGTGAGAGGCTGTAAATGACCCCAGATTGATCATAAGGTAACGTGTAACCAACGCTGAAAAGCATTTGACTCTATCTCAATCCATTTAGAAGTTGCAGCACTTTGAAATCAATTTTGATGGAAAAAATCAACGCAAAATAGTGATTTTTGGCAATTTTGAGATGTCCCCTCGTTGCCATGGTAACAGAAAATTTAAGCCTGAGCATGTTGTTGCAAGGGCAATGGTCCAGTCAACATTTGTGCCAAGTTTGATTAGTGTTGAAGCAGTTTTTATAGTATTATAGCAATTTGAACTTGTAACGGGAGACTTTTCAATGAAAACAGCCATTTTTCACAAAATGCTCATGAAGTAATGGGTTAACAGAGACACAGCAATAGCCATGAAAAAAATTGTATGCTCTTTAACATGTCAATCAAGAATACTAGATAGCCATGATAATAAAAATTTTAAAATTCTTTTGCCAAGAAATCTTTTTAACCATGAACAACACAGTGAAGGGAATCATAAAATAGTGAGTAATACAAAACTATTGGGATTTATTTTTGAACTCTCAAAATAATTTGAAAAATCCTAATGCAGCATGAATATCTGTAAGTTAACATAATAAAACGCCATAATAATGTTATAAGGATTTACACAAGCAAGCAAATAAAACAAAACGATAAACTATATTCCTCACTGATTGAAGTCAGATTACGGTAAAAGTGGTAAGGCAACATTTGATCATAAATTGTAAAATAGGAAAATTCTCAGGTGCTGCTACATGTATCCTTTCAAGCCCTTGCACTTGAGAAAAACTACAAACTGAACATATACTAATTGAATAGCTTGCTATTATTATCTTATTCAATCACCAACTTCTCCACATGTGTAGAACCATTATCCTGTTTTCTCGTATTCTCGGGGGGTTAAGGACTAAACTTGGTTGCATAATATTTAAAAAACATTTTGTTACAGTATTTTTAGCCTGATACACAGAGAAATACTTTATTAACAAAATATAAAGAAAGAAAGATCGTAACTGTAAGCAAAACTAAAGATATTTCTGCTTGTATATACTGACCTTCACCCTCGATGTGAAGCAGGTGCTTTCTCGTATTCTCGTGGAATTTGATTGGTTGTTAAGGCTGGTCGCTATGTGATGATTTTATTCTACATACCAGTTCAAATCATTAGTGCCACACCTTAATAAGTGTTAAATGGCCTAAATCTGTAATTTTATTGTGTTTTAATAACAGCTTGGCAGGCCATATCAAACTTTTAGGATCATATTGACGCCTCTTTGGTACCAAATGATTTTGATTCTTCCAAAAATAGTTTGAACTCCATTTAGTGTTGTTATTTACATAATCTCTCTAATATATATTAAGTTTACGTTTATTTATTAGTGACTTATTAGTTATATGAGCATTAAACAATGAAAACTACTGTTTTCCATTGCAGTTGTCAAAAATGAAATGTGTTTAGGACAAACAATGTTTCATTATTGGTTTTTAATTGGAGTTCATATCTTTTTTTACTATCTATTCGTGGAACAAATATTTTGAGCTGTATTGTATAAATAGTAGTGTGAGCGTCTTGCGTCAGAGACCCGCTACAGGTTTCTGCAACATGGAAAAAACTAGAAAATTGATGATTTTTGGGGGGGGGGGGAAATTGATAAATTTAATGCTTATTCTCTGGATTTTACGATTATTTCCACAGTTATTTTGGTTTTTTATCTGTTTTTGTCGCATTTCTTTTATTTTTTTAATGGAGATGAAAATGCTCTGCTAAATAGACATGTTTTCGGATATCAACGGAAGTCGCGAGCGTCTCTTCCATCCGTTTTAATTATTCCACGAGAATACGAGAAACCCCGAGAATACGAGAAACAGGGATAAAGGTGTGAAAAATCAACCACCAAAACAAATATTGGTTAAAATTTTACCTGCAATTCCAATAACCTCGTTCACCACACTTTTCTGTTGTTCACCGTACTCTTCCTTCGCCTCTAGGTAATCTGTATTAAGTTCTCTCACTGCCTTGTTATGGAACCTCACACCATTGGTCTTTGTATCTATGGTGATATAGTTCTTGTTGTTTCTTAAAACTTTCTCTTCCTGTGTCAAAATAATACTTGATTTAAACATGATATTTTATCGAACAATGTTTGCAAACTAGTACCATTTAAGATAAAAAAATACTGATTTGGAAAACAAGTATGTTCTGTTATATAAGGTAAAAAATAATACTTTGGAAAACAAGCACGTAAGTTCTCTTCTTTAAGGTAAAAATAATTATTTTGAAAACAAGTATGTAAGTTCTCTTCTGTCACAGTGACAGAACTGTTTCATCATATTTTTAATTTTATTTAATATATATTTATTCAGGTTATATAATCATTATATTTGTTAAGTACTGTATCTATAGAACAAGAAATAACTTACCTTTAAGGTCACTCTAAAGAAATATCCTAACTGAGCATTGCTTTCTAACTTCAACACTTTGTTGGGCTCTAAACCAAGATCCCTGGCACCTATAAGTTACACCATAAAGTTAAAAACACATGAAAACAAATATAACACAAGTTTTAATTCATCAAATCAAATATCTTGTACATTTTATTCTGCGACACACACATTACAGTTAAATTGGACTGACAACAATATAAACAGATACCATAGAACTTCAGTAAGTTGATGGGTAAAAAGTCAAAACATCAAGAACTTCAACTCATGAAAAAAGGTCTCAATTTAATGACAAATTTCAAACTGTCAACGCTTACAAGTGAATTAAAAAATGCGAAACATAAGCTTACAGTAATATATATATATAAATGTAAAAGGTATGAAAAATATTTTGAGATTGAAGGTGTCAAATTAATCAATGGACTTAGACTTGTCTATGACAGAATGTTTTCCAATTTTTTTATTAATTTCAAGATCATGTTCAACTCATTTAGTCCCCTCTTACCATCATGCAGAGATATACGGTGGCTTGCAAACCCCATCAGCCACAAAGATGTAATTTTTAGATAAAGTTACTCCTACATGATGTGTAACATACATACCTTGTTAAGTTGACCTTTAATATTGTCTTCTAACTTGTCCATCTTTTCTTTTAATGCTGTCAGACCCTCATCAAAGTCGGCTTTTATGACAAACTCATGGTTCTCAACTTGGTCAAGATCCATGGTGGCTTCAACCATCTCTTGAAACTTGGCAAAGTCCATTAACAGCTCCTGTGTACATAAATCAGTAGAAAAGTTTAGACAAAATGAAGGCTGGGGGCCTTGATAAATTTGTTTACTGTAATATTTCTTACTTACATATCAAAATGATCCTTGTTAGATATATTTGAAATAGAAAACAATAATGATATGTAATAAGTTAACAATATTACAATTAAGAAATATATGCAATTTAACATAAGAATACACACATTTTTCAGATAAATTATGCCTTCAAAGGATTACAGTCAAGAAAAGAACATTGTTAACAAAGATAAATGCTCCAAGACAAAGCTTTAATCGTGAGGTAAGGAAAAGTAGAAAAATCTCTTTTTGAGTGACCTTGACACAATAAACATATACTGAAATTTAAGAGTCCAGAAGGTGCAATGAAACAGGTGGAAGGACAGAGGGAAGGACAATTGACCTGACATTTACACTTGTATACTCAGTAACATCTTACAAAAAGAAAAATACAATATCGCTTACTGAAATGTATGGGAATAACTGCATAAAATTTAACTCAATGAGAATTATCCTACATTTATCCTGTTGTATACACACACTGTACCTTGAGAGGATTGCTGAAAATGTCCATGAGAAGTGATTTATGCTGACTGTCAGTTTTCTCCAATGTTTCCAGTAGATATGGCATCTTATCAATTGCCTGATAAACTCTGTACACATCCTGCAAGGACAAATACATTTTCTATAATTTCTTAGTTTAGGAAAGGAAAAGCATACATGTATTTATGACTATCTTTTAATTTAACAATTCAAAGTTTCAAGATAAAACTATTTAATTACTGAATATCTTTTAATAAACTAATGTTGAACAAAAATTTCTTAAGGTAATCTTATTGCATAATCATTTTAAATGACAAAATATCTTAACAGAAGACAAGACTTTAAATGTACTCTATTTAAACATTTGTGGCCTGTCTTGGCTTTCTTGTAGTCATATGAGATAATTGACTATTTCCAAAACCTTAAAATCCAAATGCTTCATATTGCTCACATCTCTAATTAGCATATTCATCAATATGGCAATACAATTTTCACTTATGTCTCAAAATAAACCATGTGTAGTCATCTATAAGTATAAAAGTCAGTTAAGAATCATTTATCCTAACGTCACATTTCAGTCAGCTTAGCTCAATAGGGAAAGCTTTGGATATGTAATCAAGGGGCCGCTGATTTGGTTCCCAAGCAAGACAGACTTTCTCTGTGACAATTACTCTCGGACATCTAGTCCAATGGTCATTTGTCTCTCGCTATTGATTCGGAAATCATGCAGGATCAGTAGTTGATCACTTGCAGAGAAACGGTAATTACCGGTTAGTTATCCAGGAGAGCTTGCTAGGTGTGCTGATCACCTCGATATGTCCAAAAATAGGACTAAAATCCAATCAATCAACTAAACTAACATCACGTTTTGAAATCATACATCATGCAAATAGTATTTGAATAATTTTTGAATCTCTTCTATTTAGGATTAAAAAGTATTAATTAACAATGTCATTAAAACATTGTTATATTCATATGAAATCGAAGTTTACTAGTAACATTACATGTACCTGCAATGAAGCTTTTTTCCTCTGGAATTTTTTAGCTAATCTCTGGAAATCTGGTATCCTTCTTAATTGATCTTCAAACAACATCTGTCTAAGCTCTGTATCTTCAACAAATGCCTCGACTATGTTTAGCCTCTCCTCTGTGGAAAATATATAAAAATGTTTGTTACATAAAGAATGTTAAATAAACAACCACTGTACATGCAGGCATTTATAAAAGCTTATAATAACAAGTTAATATCCATTAATTCTGATTATAGATTTATATCCTCAAAATTTGTTGAAAGATCTTAACTTGATTACAAATTAACAGCTTATACCTATTCTATTTTTATCCACCAATGGCTGTTTGACCCAGTGACCTAGTAACCTTTGACCTTGTGCAGTGCGACATCTATTTAGAAGACCAAGTAGACACTGATTCTTGTTGCCTCCTGAATAAATATAAGAGTATCATGTCAGGAAAAAATCATAACAATGTAATTACATGCTAAATGCAGACTTCACCTTTTTCTTTTTTTGCTGGAAAAACAATTCTATATTGTTTTAAACTACATGTAAGTATTTCAGTAATTTAATCTTGGATAAGTGCAAAATATCACTGTTAAGCCTTCATCAAAACTGCGTCCCCAGAGCTATTTACAGTGCATTAGTGCATGATGTTTCATTTATAAAAATAGAAAATTAGGAAACAAATCATCCAATTTACTAATTTACATATAAAGAGCAAACTATGATTAAAGGTATCAAAGGGTTTCCTTATTGTTTATGTAGGCTATTTTATCAATGGAAAATTTTATTTTTCCAACTTAATTCTTTTGAATTAACAATTATATGAAATAATTTATCTAAAAACAACTTATTCAACCTTTAGAAAAGCTTAAGGCCACTTTAACTTTATTATGACTTCACACAATATCATTACTGAGACTGGATTTTCTAGTGTTTGCATTGGTTCTTTAAAACTCTTAGATTTGTAAAGACACATACTGCTATAAGAAAATAATGTTATTTAACAAAACTAGGTTTCTTTATATTTTTATTCAGAAGTGTTTAGAATATCCAAGAAAATGAATCAAATACGATCTAAAGTCACAGAACAAAGTATTCTAGCTAGGTTATCTCAAGCCTCATTGTTACCTTAACACGTCATCCTATGCATGCAATTTCATTCTTAAATATGCCGAAATGACATCATTTTAAGGCAGCTCATTGATAAAATGCGCAAAAATGACGCAGATGTATAGTATGCGACTCATCTGGCACGCCCCATGCCAGATGAAATTACAAGCATGGGTTAAACTAACACCAATTTGATATGCAAGAATATTCATTCCTTTAAATATGTTATCTTGAAAATTGTCAAAATTGAATTGTTACAAATTGCCTAAAACTTTTTTTTCATAAATTATAACTATTTTAAAATTGTGAAATTTTCTTTTCAATGTCAAACTGAAATTTTAAAGAACGTGAATTAAAGTCTAGACTAGCATGCCATAATGAAAATGCAGGACTCTCACAAAATGCTAATATTTCAAACAAACCTCTCAATATGGTAAAGAAAACCTACTTATACAGAGCAATAAAAAATACTTTTATCTGGTAAAAAAGCATTGTGAGTATTATGTAAAATTGAAACAAATGTCATTGACACTGAAATATTTTTTTTCTACCTTCAGTAGAACTGGGGAGTAGATTCAGGGCTCGAACAGCGGCAGCATCAAGTCTCATATACTGACCAAGGTCAAAGGTCGACAAAGTGAACTGACCAAAATTACTCTCATCTGATAGCAGCTGAAATACAAATTATTTTTACTTTAATTATATGAGTAAAACAACACAATATAACATTCATTGCTACTGTATTTTGAATTCAGATTTTTGTCTCTATTTTGAATAAGGACTTTTGTCTTTTTCTTTTTTTATAAGAAACTTCTTAATTTTTTAATCTGTTTAAATGTTTGTGTTATTTGACCTTGTAAACTTTCGATAACTATTCACATTTTATACACTATTATATGATTACTAATGTTCAAGTTTAATTTGCATCAAAAATTTTTCTCAACTTTGTATTTGCTTTAATGTTTATTGCATAGCATGGTACTGTTGTTGTTGTTGTTTTTTATTTACATATTTCTACAACTCTTTGATCTGCATTCAGAATATACAAGAATTTTGAAACTTTGTAAACTACTTTGTACAAATAAAATGTTTGGTATTTGGTTTGATCCACCAAACTTCAAAGATATTTTCACACTTTGATAAACAACAATGTACACATGATTGGTACTTGACCAATTGACCATGTCAAGCAATGATTAGCTCAAAGGGGAAAAGTTTGCTTCTAACAATAAACTGTTTCACAGTTTGTTCTGATGATCAATCAAGTACTGTAATTACTGTAAGAACACTGGTCACTAGCACACACTTGGACCAATCAAATAGCCTATGTCAAATTTGAGATTATTCCATGCAATTTAATCATCAACAAAATCAAACTATAGGTACTTTTTTGGAGCATATAAATGTTGGAAAATTTCATTAATATGGTTATTCTGTGGAAAATCTGTTGAAGGGTGCTTAAGATATTTATATATTGGTTTAAAAAACAAGTCTACATATCAACTGAAATGACAGGTAAATAATCTTGGATAAAAAAAAGGATAAATATAAGACTATGGATATGTTAAATTAAATCTATAAGTTCTTTGCCATTTGTTAAATTCAGGCTCTTTCAAATATTTGAAAAACCTTGTTAAAACATATTTGCAGAAGATGCATGTAAATTAATATAATTCTACATTAAATATTTATTTTAATTTTTGTTTTTATATTTGGCGAAGCTTAAAATTCTCTACTAGGTACTTACTGCTCAAGGTGACTTATATTACATGTAACCTTTACAATCAAGTGAAAATAGATATATCAAGAATAATCAACTGTTCTTTTCTTTCTTTTAATCTACATGTATATCAACAATATATGTTTTGTGTTTACATGAAATTAACAAGGAGGGACCACACATCAAATTTTTGTTTGTTTTGTGTTTAAAAAAAAAAAACAAGTTAAAATAACGTTAATATTATATTAATGTAAAAAATCATTGTTTTTTTTTTTTTTTTAGTTTAACAAAAAGACTTATGCAAGAGGCTGAAACGGGAGAATTCATCTCATGGGCAGAAGATTTTGTGCAAAAAAAAATTCCAAAAGAAGAGTGTAAAACAACCAATGTATGGAAACAATTAAATAAGGACAACGGGGAAATTCTAGAGAAGATATTTCACTTAACAAGAAATTTACAAAACTTGAATTTGAACTGGAATGAAATAAATGTTCCCAATTTTCTTAGGATTTGCAGACATAAAAGGACGGGCAATTTAACTAAATGGAGAAAACTTGCGTGTTAATGGGCACGAAGAGTCAAAAACACAATTACACAGAATATGTTGTACACCAATATGCAGACATAGTGGAATTGTGGGATTTAGCTTTGTAAATGATAACTTTCTCGGTAGCGATTTTAAACACAAGAGATTCAAAGAAAAGTGTATGGCGATGTTATAAAAATTAAAGATTTAACCGAAATCTTGAAAGCAGTACTAATGCAGACAAAACAGCAGACGACAGTGTACATGTAATGGTGATTTTTGGAAACCTGAATAATTTAAGAAGTAATAACTTCAAACAGGACAAAAACAGATGAAGTCACAAACTAATGGGTTCAGTTCACTAATGGTGAAAATGGAATTTTTGTATTTCAGAAATGGGAAATCTTTCAAACGAAGAGGAATTTTCAAAGATCGCAAAAATCAAAGAAATTGACTGAATGAATGTTTGTAATTTTAGAATTAAAATTACAACAACTGGGGATTATTCAAGTTTTCGTAAAATAATTTCCGAAAAAAATTTATTATATAATCTGGATTAAAGGAAAATCTTTCTTCTTTAAACAAAGAATATATATCATTTTTGGGTATTGTTAAAACAATTGTTTTGGTTTATATTGTTATAGTCTGTTTAAAAATAAATTTCATTAAAGCCTTATGCTTTTATGTTGTTTTTTTCTTTTTTTTCTTCATTCAAAACAGTATACTTAAACAAAATCAAATGCCTATAAATTTTTCAATATTACAAGTGTTAAGATACTGTTTACACCTTAAAATGCTAACGTTTTAAAATTATGTGTATTTTCATTATTCTTATATTTAATTACAATGTAGTTATTAGTAAGAAAGAAAAAAACAAAAAAGATGAAAAGCAAACGATCAGCTTTAAGTTCCCATGTTGTTAGAATATATCTGACCTGAGACAAAATATACACGGGCAAGAAACTACCTCAAGATAAGCAGTCCCTTTTGGATCCAATAGAATTATGATGTCATCCTAAACTTGGCAAATGTATTTCTTCCATGCTCATCCCCCGGTACAAACAAACTTTTACTGTTATAGCTTCACTATCGGTCACAATAGATAAGTCAAACTGTTGCGCTTAAATTCGAAGCTGCAACTGTAAACGTTTGTTTGTACCCCTCGATTAGCTGGGAAAAACCCAAATATTCTTTATTCCAAAGTGAGTCGATTGTGAACTGATTGACTGATTAACATAGTATATAATTCCTTAAATTTATGTTGTTATTATGAAAAATTAGATAGATGAACAAAATTTCATGTGGATGCAAAGTTTCAAATAATGTGTTTTTGTTTTGTTTTTTTGGACACATGCAAGTAGAGAGTCCTGTCTGATAAGAATTTGCTAATCAATATCAAATTGTATTCAAATTTATAATGTCGATCTAATGACAATACAGGTTTTACCATTAACAGAGGACTGTTACCGACTTACGTGTAATGGGTTAACATTTATTTCGCGT